TTTGATGGTTTCCTAATGGGATCTAAAAGTGTTCTACACAAAAACTAGTGGTCTCTATTGGAAACCATTAAGCCAATTCCTGTTAGAAAGCAAAACCATTATCCATTAGTCTATTTGAGAACATGACGTAGTTTGTGATGAACTGTGTGGTGCTGTGCAGTTTGCACAGTGCTAACTGGAGTAAAAACATCCATTATTTGTTAGCATTAGCTTCAGTGCAGAACTAAAGCTAGAACCACAAAACCTTTCAGGATCGCAAAGCCTGTACAGGAATAGTGTGCTTGTGCTTTTGGGTTCTTCAGTAAAGAAAATGGTTCTATATAGAACCATGAACACTCAAAAGTACCCTCTTGCATGATTGAACGGTTCTTTGCATCGTGAAAGGGTTCTTCAGATTGATGGACAATGTGCTTTATGGTTCTACACAGAAACTTTTTGAAAACGGTTCTATATAGCACCAAAAAGGGTTCTTCTATTGTAGCAATAACAAGCTTGTAACAACAGAAGAACCTTCATTTGAGATGCACTCACGTTTATACATCATTTCTAGTCCCGCCACCACCGCCGCTGCTGGCGCATCGCCGTCCGGCATTTTTTTTCAGAATTTTCCAACCATGAGAAGCTCCTCCTTTTCCATGTCCCGTCGGAATGTGGGACAATAGTGTCTATGGTTACCATACTCAAAAATCGACAGGTTCTAAATGTGCACTGTGCATTTTTGCTAAAACTCAACCTTGACACTTACTACTACACACTGCAACTACTACATACTCAAACGCTAGTTAGTATTAGTGTTAAGTGCACAATTGGGACACGCCCTTGATCTTCTACACTACAAAATGGCAGAACCCCAAAATAGTGCACTACATAGTGAATAGGGCACAGTTTCGGACACAGCTCAAATCTGACTGCCGCAAATCAGTGACTTCAATTATTTACACTGACCCTAATATGCATTACATACAGACTGACATACAGTAAATATTAGCACATAAATATAGGCGCATCTTAGCAACCACCTGGGGTGACATAGCAACACAACGGCTAATAAAACGAACTGTACTAGCAAAATAATCAGAAATAGACCCACGTTCTCTTCTTAACTCTGAGAGCAGGTGCAACTTCTCATTTGTGCTGTTCTGTTAAACCTGTGCCACCTGCATTTAACATATAACCTAAACAACAACACCTGTTCTGCTCATCCATAAATAGGTAACTTTTAGCTGCTAAAGAGGCTGAATGCAGTGATTTGTAATTGTGTTTACTTATGCTATGTTTACAATATTCATAAGGTTTTTATGACATTAATAATTATTAAATTGAGTTATAACATGAGGCTTGTTTGACACCTAAATGATACGGCAGTGACTATGCATTTAGGCTAAAGGTCTAGCATGGTTTAAATAAAAAGAACATTTTATTTTTTATTTTTGGTGTAGGTTAAATGACCCGCCCGTCCCCCCTTTTGCTCCACCCCTATATTTAAATGAAGCTAATTGAATGAGTTATGCACAGTAGACAATATAGCTCAGGAGAAACAGCTTCTCACAGTGATTAGCATGTGAAACCGGCCTGTTGCTGAAGTTCTAGGTGCATCTGGACTGCGTAAACCGTCAACATGGTCAGGGACAAAGCACTTGCTGCTGAGCTGTTTTACAGCCCAGCGTAACAAGACACAGATGACATGAGAGCAAAGAAGTAGCACCTGTTTCCTCCACTGCTCCTCTACTGACCCAGATTTCTAGGAGATTACGTTTAAAGGGACTTACCACTGTGACTTCAAGCAAAAGCTAATCATAGACAGGGTCTCAGATCAACTTTAGCTTTATTTACTTCCACTTTATCATGTCTTGTAATATTATAGAGTCAACTCTTTAGGTTCATTTTGCTTCAACACTCTGCTGCATGTTCATCAAGGTGTCTTCCGTGGTACAAAGAGAAGGTTTTACATAAACAATGTCAAATTTCCAAATTATTATTGAAGGAATACTCCGGTATCTATCTAGATACCAGCAGATAGATCGCATTTAACAGACAATACAATCGTTTATTCTTGGGGTCAGTTTGACCCCAGCAATTTAAACCTCCAAAGTCAAAGTTCTGGTGGGAATTCTCTTCTCCCTCCCTCATGTGGTGTGAACTATCAGTGGTTCTTGCGCTACTACAGGTGTGGTTATGTTAGGTTATGCCCTAAAGTAGAGGAGAGATTTTTTGAAGACTATAAAATTGTCATAACGACCTCAATATCATCCAAAACAACCAAAACAATTATGTAAAATGTTAATATTCAAGTCAAGTCAAGTCAAATTTATTTGTATAGCGCTTTTTACAACTGATGTTGTCACAAAGCAGCTTCACAGAAATCCATTAAGGACAAAGTTTTAACATGAAATGTAAATCCTCCAGGTGAGCAAGCCAGTGGCGACAGTGGGCCAGGAAAAACTCCCTCAGAGCTGCGGAAGAAACCTTGGGAGGAACCAAGGCTCACAAGCGGGGGACCCATCCTCCTCTGGTCAAACTACCTACAAATCCCTTCTGTTTTATACAGCTGAAGCACCCTGGGGTCAAACTGACCCCAAAGAACCCTGATAATGCATACAGAATGTGTAAAAGACATTGAAAACATATCATCATGTTCATTTTATCTTTAGAGCCATTAAACTTTGAATGGGGTCAAACATAATAGGAAGCTTAATGCATTTGTCTGTGCTAAGTAATAGAAAAGAAAACCTGTTAAGTTAAAACAGACTTCAGCACCTGCCCACTGGATCCTATGTGCATTCTGAGTTCTGTTATTTTCTAGTACAGGGGAAACTCTGTCTGTGGCAAATGACAAGTCTGGTTCTTATCATTAATCCAGTGACCAATTCTGACTCCCTCGAAAGACAAATTTCTCATCAAACCACTCTGAATGACTTTGTTTACATCTTTTAATTTTTGCAAAACTGATAGAATCCCCCTCCAAGCACGGGAAAGATTTGGGTGCTGATGTCACAACAAGGGGATAAAATGTGTGGCGTTTGATTCTGATTATTCCCACTGTAGCCTTTTGTCAGTATTTGCTTCAGCGTCGCCTGTTTCTGCAGGAGACATAGTGGCCATTCTGTCTGTGGAATAGAAATCGATTCAGGTATTTTTAAATAATGTAATCAAGTTAACTATTTTCTTTAATATGAGATTACCCAGGACACTGTCGGCTTGCTGTGTGTCACGTCATGACTCTGTGTTGAGCTGCTAGCGAGCAATGAGGGTGCTATAATAACAAATAGCATTTAAACACAATGACACGTTCACAAATGTTAACTTGCTTGCCAACCGACCAAAACTAAAATCCATAACAGGCAAAAATCGCATTTCATGGCTTTTGTGAAAAGAGCTCAACATCGTCCATCTACACAGCTTTTTGTTTAATTTATTGACCCATTCAGTAAAACATACTTATTTGTATTAGAAACATTTCTAGGTGCCCCCTGACTTTTAACAGACAGTTTATTTCCCTTCTGGAAAATTGGAAGACATATGGCCAAAGCATTGTAAGTTATAATGATTTAGAAAGTTAAACAAGTGTAAGGTTACAGTAACATATTTCTGAATGAAATGTTAACAACACTTGAAGGTAATTACACATTATTCCACATTTTTACAGATGCTGTCTCACAGGTCAGCTTATTAAAACCTCATATTAAGGCCTAGCTGGGGGTTAGATGTGTGGGGACATGCAGGACCAACAGATGGAGCCATTTCCCTTCACATAAAAAAAAGACTTTGATGCAACTGATATATTTTAAAGAGCACATATCATGGAAAACTAAATTCTTTCAAATTTTTTAATAAAAGAGTTTGATGTAGTACGTAGTATGTAAGTGATATATATATATATATATATATATATATATATATATATATATATATATGTATACTCACCTGATTCCTTCTATTTGTGCTAATTTGTCGCATTTCAATGTTTCAGATCATCCAACTCTTTTTAATGTAAGATAAAAACAACAGAAATAAGCACAAATGCACCTTTTAAATGATCATTCCATTTATTGAAGATGAAATATACATTTTCAGTATTCAAAACGTATATCACCCATGTGAAAAAGTAATTGCCCCCTCAAACCTGGGAAGGTTCATCACTGTCTTTGTCAAAAATGTACATGATTTAATGATTAAAAGGTAAACAAAGTCATTCAGAGTGGTTTGGTGTGAAATACTACTCGTTCACAGTGGAGGTGATAGGAACCAGACGTCTAAAGACTTCAATGAAATGCTCTGAAAGCTTTCTCACAAAAAGTTATTACATTAAATGGTTAGATATACCGCTGCTTGATGTCTGACACATTGTTTTACGATTGTTTTGTGATAAAATTTTGTATTTTAATCCATTCATTTTAATCCAGTCAATTCGGAGGCGTAGGTGCAGCGTGTTGTGAGGCAAAATAGTCCCCAAAGAAAACTTATTTTTTTCAGATTCATGACTATTTTACTATTATCAACATTAAATATAAAAGCCCAGAAGACACATATAGGTTCACTTGTGGTTTTGGATAGCAAATAAAATGTCTATATTTATGCTGTAGTCATGGCGACCCCTGGTTCCTATCACCACCACTGTAAAGAAATCAGAGTCTGTAGGTTTCTCTACAACGAACCGCTTCACGTCAAACCACTCTCAATGACTGTTTACATCTCAAGGATTTATGAATTATCCAGAAATTTGGAAAAAGTGGTGAAAAACCTTTAAGTCCCCCACTGTGGACTGTGTTCCAATCGGCGACGTTCCATTATACTAGTATATATATATATATATATGTGTGTGTGTGTGTGTGTGTGTGTACATGAGCCAGTTCATACTAAGACTACCTAATGTATATGTTTTCGTCTCCCAGTGGTTTGTTAGTTGCAACACTTCAGCTGTCGTCCTATTTTTGCGTACCATTTGTAAAAGAAGGGTGAGATTTGGGACGCAGCCGGGGCCTTTACAGGCTATTGCGCCGCATCACGCATGCGCAAAGCCACTGTAGTGGGGCTTTCGCTCTGTTAGCAAGTACATCGGAAAAACAAAGCCATTTTTAAGGATAAATCCAGTGAATCGCCACCGGGAGAGAGTTACACCTGCCGCCGGCGGAGAAAAAGGTATGTCACCTTGAGGAAGAGATAAAGAGATACTCCGTATTTAACGCTGTTTAGACGGAAACTCCGCTGTGCTGCTGAGGAGGAGAGCTAACTGGCTAACGCAGGATAGGAACAATATAGCCAACGATGAGCAAAGCTAGAACCGTTTTTCCTTCACCGTTTTTCCGTATTCGTGAAATAATGAGACAGGCCGAGACGACCGAGAGATGTTTTGGATGTTACACAGATTGTTAATGCAGACCAGGCTAATTCGTCCAGCTAACGGCATGGCGCAGTTGCTTTGAACATAAACATCCATAGAAGAGCCGAATAATTAGACCTTTAGCCATTCACTGTAAACGTAGCATTAAACAGGAGGTTTGCGATCAAATTCCTGTTGCTGTAAGACATTTTTAAAGCCATATCTTTTTAAAAGTGGTCATTGTTTTACGTAGCAGATAATCCTTTTTCTAAAATGGATCCCTTCAGTGGAGAAGCTGGGTTAATTTCAGGACGATGGGTTTGGTTCCTGTGTTGACAGAAAAGCGGGGTCGTTTTCCACGATGTGTGTTAGTATCTGGGTCATTTAGGTTACTATCCACACTAAATATCAATAATAATCATAATAATGATTAGAATAATAACAATATCCAGTTCTACATGTCATCGCTCGCCAGCTAAAACTCGTCCATGCTAAATTAGAGGCATTTCTCCACAGCACTCTAAAGGGAAGTCCACCAAACTTTTCAAAAACTCTGCATAATTAAATGGTTGAGAGGTAAACACAGCCATTCAGAGTGGGTTGAGGCCGTAGGTTTCTCTACGAACGAACTGTTTCACGCTGAACATCTCAACCGCTGAATTATGCAGAAATTTTAGATAAATCAGTGGAATTCCCCTTCAGCTCCTGTTGAGCGGCAGCACTTCTGAATATAGAGAACTATAAATATGTTTTCTATACTAAAGCATGAAAGTGCCATGGAGAAGTCAACAGAAAACTAAATTTGTGGCTTACAGTGTCAAATATTTGATAAAAAATAAAGTTAGAGGGGTTGTTTTGGTTCTGTGACCCAGCATTTGTAATCTGGCACACAAGAACTTGATGACCTTAACTCACTGTTATATGTAATAAGACATTTTATTCTCTTCTTAGCTGTTCATTTTTGTTTGTGTTATTTACAGTGACAACAGGCAAAGAAGTGATGTGAATCTAAATAAACAGGGATGTGTGGTTAGGAAGGTCCAGATCAGTGGTCACCAGCTCTCCTCCTGGAGGCCCACTTGCCTGCAGAGTTTCCAATCTGCATCTAAAATGCTGCCTCCTTAGCTAACACTAAAGCATCTGATCCAGCCAATCACGAACTTCTGAAGATGTTAATTAGCTGGAGCAGGTGTGGCAGATTGTGGTTGGTACTACACTCTGCGGGAAGGTGGACTTCCAGGACCAGAGTTGGTGACCGCTGGTCTAAAATGATTTGGAGAACTGGGGTTGGTTGGACCAGCTGTACTTAAATTTAGTGTTTACTAACTTCAGTTTTATTAATTTTGTACTGCACAAATTAGTTGAGCTTAGAAGCAGCTAAATATTTCACTAGACCTGGCCCGATCAGTGTTTTTTAGGCCGATACTGATTGCTGATCACCTTTCAGCATGATCAGCTGATGGCCAAAACCAGTCGAGGGCGGGGCTGGATGCTACATTTTAGGGCCCACAAGTGATTTTTTGGATTTTTCCTAATTTTCTCCCCAATTTGGATGCAGCGTCATTAGACAGCTGAACATGCTTGGAGGAGAAGGCTAAGCGCCAGTTCTGTTACAACAGCTAACAGACGCCTGAGCTGACTTGCGTCGCAGTGAGTGATGGGGGAGACGGTGGGGGGGGCATCCTACCCACCCAAAGCGAGTGAGGCCAGTTGTGCTCTCTTGGACTCCAGGAGACACCACTCCTGAACTCGCAGTCTCCTGATGATGGGGTCAACGCTTAGACGGGTGCGCAAAACAAACACACCCTTCCCTTCAGTGCTCTTTGAGAAGCTCGCACAGCGAGTTACAGCGATATAGAATCCATTGGCTTCGTATTCATCAGCTTCTCATTAACATTTTTCCAGTTCACCTTAAATTGTGCTGCAGTTACATCCTGGCGCCTCAGGCGGAGTTTCGTCACTGATCTCAGGATTGGCTAAAGTAGAGAAATAGCCGATTGATCCTTTCATCCCTAATTCACACCTCCTCCTAAGCAGGCGAAAGTGTCGGCAAATTCCCCTTTCAAACTTCACCTTTAGGTAATATGAACAGCCAGTGGTTGTGTTGCATTGTTACAGTTCTCATGTAAATGTTTTATCTAACTTAAAATTTGTTTTTGATTTTCAGTTTGTGTTTTTAAGGCTGTTATTTTATGTCAAGATTTCTCATATTCATAAGCATGAAATGGAAACACTCATCGCTTTACTGCACACACTAGACACCGAAAACTCCAGACAGTTCCGGTTGTGGGATGTGTGAAGTAAAGAATGTGGTCAGACATCCATGAGTCAGTAGCTGTGGCCCACGCGTCAAAGGACCATGTTCAGGAACGATAACATAACTCGCTGATGGGGTTTTTTTAAATTAGGTTCTAAGGTACTGTGGTTTGAGTTGAGGAGAACGACCTGTGCCCAAAAGTATCCAGACACCCCTTTTAGTAAATTCAGGCGAACCGCTTGCTGACACTGGCATTCAATTGTGCAGAAACAGACTGTATAATCTCCATAAACAAGCATCAACTATAGCATGGAATGCTTTGGAGTAGCAGTGTGGAGCAGTGGTGCTGCGTTCTCCGGAGAGATGGACCTTCATCCAGTCCCTTTGCGATGGGTTTGAGTGGAGTTTATAATCCAGAACTAATCATCCAGCATCATACCTGGCCTCACTCATGCTTCTGTGGCTGAATCCTCACTTTAGACATGTAGTATATATGTCTGCGTTTGCTGTCCAAAGAAAAACGTGTTTCCGAAATAGTACCCTTTCAGACGAATGTGAAAAAATGCGATGTTATTGTAAAGGAAGTGATTTTGGTGCATTTCTGTTGGTCCGTTCATCATGGAAGTTTCACACGATGTAAAGGACGGCCACCAGCTGCGAGTGATATCAAAAAATGCGACATGTGCTCAGAAAAGCATAAAGTGACGTAGTTTATCAGAACAGTGATGAATATCGACCACCGTTTTTATTTAAACGTTTGCAAAAATAAGCGATTAAGAGGAAAGAGGAGGGAAAAAGTCAAATAAATGGCAGAAATAAATGAATAAAAGAGTATTAAATATAAAAAAGGCTAATATTCTACTAATTGTTACTACACTCTAAAAACAGATGTGTTAGAAACAACACATTCTGTCTCTACCTAGACAATTAGAGCCGCTGAGACTTTTAACACAATGTGTTAAATCAGAAAACAGTGACGCGAAAAATGTTAAAAATGGCTAACACAAGTGTGTAACTTGACACATCACTTTCTAGAGCACTGAAAGGGCCACATTAGAAATCTCATCAAATCTGTGGGCCAGAGAAAAAAAATGTTTTATTTAATTTATAATTAATGTAGTGCTTTAAGCCAAACTGGCCATCGTTCGTTCAAAATATGCAAAAACTTCAACAGTAAAATACAGACATTTGTAGTAGACCTTGAAATATTACATGGACACTTGAAATATTCCAAATTTAAATGTCTCCATGTGCTCAGTCTTTTAAACGTACCTATCTGCTTGAACTAAACACCTGACATCCTTTCTTTGCTGCAAGTTCATTAAGACCTGGGCTCAGTTTCCGAGCTGCTGAGCTGATGTTCAGTGTTTATATTGGTTGAACTGCAGCTGAAATGCATTTTGGAGAAATGACTGGTGTGGAACTGTGTAGAATTGTGTAGAACTTCTGTCCCATAGATTGTTGTTGGTGTAGGAGAGTCTGAGCACATTATGTTGCAGTGCATGCTGGGAACTGTAGTCCAGCACATGATGAAACGGGCAAATGATAATAGAAAATTAAAATACTTCCGCAGGCCGGATGGGATTGTGTGGCGGGCCTGATCTGGCCTGCGGGCCTTGTGTTTGACGCATGCGTTTGAGTGGACTACACATACTTGTTACTACACAGTTTATTAAGTTGCTATACAGCGGTTGTTGTACAGTGGGTCTTTTCGTGATTCATGCAGTTGTTCAGGGTTCTGGAAGTACTGATGAAGCCCATCATACACTCAGAAAAGAGTTTTGTGTCTTAATTAATTACAGTGATCACATATTGCCAATTTCCCCTGCTCATAATCCAGCGTATTGTGCTTCTTGTGTGGAGTCACATCCAGGTTTCTACATGTCCAGGGTGGAGAAGGGCGGTAATAACACAGGAAGGAAGTTTCATACGCACAGAGGTGTAGCAGGGAACAGCGTCATCCCAGAAATTATACATTAATCCTATTTTAGGATGGGCATCGTGAAGCAATGTTATATGTACAGTCCCTTGTTTCAGTAGAGAGTAAAAGTATTGCCGTACGCTTTTATACAGATGCAGAAAAAGACCTCGTATCTCCATTTTTGTCATTTTTCAGTTTTTGACATAATTTAAAACTGCCTGTTGCCTGTTACATCGTGTGTACATTTCATGAAGAACGGACCACAAGAAATGCCCCAAAATGACTTGTAAAAAATTCTGGTTCCATTGACTTACATAAAAAATAAAGTATGTTTTTTCCTTCTCCTGTAAAGTTACCATTTTGGAGATGCGAGGTTTTCTTCCGACAGCAGTGTTATACTAAAACAGCCATACAACGATCGCATAAATGTTATGCAGGTGACAATGCAGTGATGCATGTACTCTAAACAGGTGTCTTTTCAGCACCAGTTAGCTGGTCTGACTTGCTAACTAAGCTATCCTTAGCTTAGCCAAAACGCAGGAATGCCGAACACCACAGAACAGGTTTGATTTCGGCTTTCTTTCAGTCCCAACACCACTCGCTCACTTTTACTCTCTCACACATTAGTTTTATCATCTACA